TTTTTAGCAGGCAAACAATCTAATTTTTAAAAAATCAACAAAGGATATGAATGGTCACTTCACAGAAAAGTAAGCAAAAATAGACAAAACACACATGGAAAGACTCATCTTAACCAACAATAACAGGAATTATAATTAAAATCAATAATAATTAAATAGCAACAAATTGGCAAAAATTTAAAAGTTTGTAATACTCGGTATTGATGTGGAATTGACTAGTTTTTATGTACTCTAATGAAAGTGGAAAGTGGAAAGCAGGGGCCTCTCTGGTGGTGCAAGGAGTTAAAGCACAGCAATTATGAAGCTCTCCACAGCTACTGCAGCACGATCCCCAGGCAGGGAGTTGACCCACATGGTCCAACAGACCTCTCCTGTCTTTCCCAGTGCTCCCCTCAGCAGTGTATTTCAGTCAGTCTGCCTGCTCTGCTCCCATTCTGTCTCTGGTGAATCATCTCACCACCACCACCACCCACACCTCTGGCCTATACCCAGCTCTTGTATGCATAAATAAATAAATCTCTTTTAAAAAATAAAGTGGAAAGCAGTTTAGCATCATCTTGTAAAGTTTATACATATACACTATTCCTCAGCACTTCCACTCCTAGGTATATGCTAGAGAAACTTAAATCTATAGGGCCCTTCTCTTCTTTTGCATTAAAAAAATAATAATAAACTGAATTGTTTGTGCTGCAGAGTCCTAGTCTCATATGAACCCACTCCAACCAGGCTTTCATCCTCATAGCTCTGCTAGAAATGTCAAAAACATCAGAAACTCTCATGTTACTAAATCAGTCAGTTCTCAGTCTTCCTATTCCCATCATCTGTTGTCACTCTCTCCTTCCAAAAGTACTTTCTTCACTTGGCTTCTCAGATGCTACACTCCTGATTTTTCTCCCAGCTCACAGACCACTTAGCCCTAGCCCCTAGTTCTGGTTCTTCCTCTTCTGTCTCCCCAAGGGCATTCTTATCTTTTACTCTGACCCTCTTGAGATCTCTTATAGTCTAATAGCTCTAAAATCCTTTGTATCAATAGGATAGGCTAAAATATGCTGTTTCCAAACAACCCAAAAACCTTAGCAGTTTAAGAAACAAAGGTTTCTCTCTCATGTTTCTTGTCCATTGTGGGTTGGCTGTGTCTCTGCTCTACGTCATCATTCCAGGACCCAGGCTCATAGGAACACTCCTTACCTGAGGCATTGTGTGTCTCATGGCAGAGAAAAGAGAAAGTGACTATCATGTAATGGTCCTTAGTTCTCCTTGGCAAGGGCGCCTGTCCAAATTCACACTACAGAGGACAAAGCAAACCACCACCATCCAGCTAACCTTCAGAGCAATGATATAAGGATGTATAACCATTCTTTACTGAGGAACATTAACTAATATTGAACAATAATAGAATTTATGATAAATTTCTCAAACTCACTAAGTCCAAAAGTGATCTCCTAATCCTCCCCTCATTTCATGTTTTTCCTATACAGACTATTCCATTGATAGCAACTTCAGCTTTCTGACTATCCCAGCCCAAATCCTTGAAGTCATTCCTGATACAGCTCTCACACTTATTGCACATCCAGTCTATCACCATGTCTGGTCAGCACTACCTTCAAAATATAGCAAAAATCTGACCATACCTCAGCCCCTCTGCTGGTGTGAGTCACTATCACCTATCACTTGGATGACCATAATAGGCTTCTGTCTCGTCTCCCTGCTTCTAACCTTGTCATCCCTCTTCCCCACTCCAAGGTTAATTCTTAACACAATAAGCGATGCTTTAAGAAAGCAAACTGGGACCTCTCTGGTAGCACAGGGGGTTAAAGTGCAGCACTGTAAAGCTATCTGCAGCATAAGTTCTATCCCTGGCCAGGGAGGTAAACCACAAGGCATCGCAGACCTCTCTTTTCTCACCCGCTGTTCTCTCAGCAGTGTATTTCAGCCCATCTGCCTGTTCTGCTCCCTACTATTTGTCTCTAGTGTATCCTCTCACTGCCCACACCTTTGGCCTGTACCCCAGTTCTTGTATGCATAAATAATTCTTATTAAAAAATAAAATAGGGCCCTCCCTGGTGGCGCAGTGGGTTATAGCACAGCACTAAGAAGCTTAAGGCCACTTCTGCATGAGTTCGATCCCCGCCTGCCCCGGAGGAGATCCACATGGCACTGACAGATCTCTCCTGGCCCGCCCACTGCTCCCCTCAGCAGTATACTTCGTCAATCTGCCTGTTCTGCTCCCAGCTCTGTCTCTGGTGAATCCTCTCACCCTCTGCATCTCTGGCCTGTACTCCGGTTCTGTATAAATAAATAATCTTTTAAAAATAATAATAAAATAAAATAAGCAAACCAATGCTTTTAAACAGCAGTAGTTAAAATAATTTAAGTATAAAAATTAAAAGCAGAGCACATCATTCTCACTATTCGAAATCCCCCCAGTACCTACCCATTTCTCTCAGAATCGAAACCAGCATTTACAGTGGCCGCAGGTCCTACTGCTCTGCCTCCTCCCCATTTTCTCACTTTCTACTGACTTCTCCTTCACTCCATAGTTGAACACGCACCTCTCATGTGTCTCCCCTAAGGTCTATGTACTTGCTGATCCTTCTGCCTGGAGCGTTCTTCCTCAGTATCTGTGTGGGTGGCTCCCTCGCCTCCTCAAATATTACTTTCTGGCTATGTCTCTCCTGACTTCCATATTTCAAATTGCCATTTCCCTTGGCACTTCCAATTCCCCTCACTCTGCTAGCACTTCTCATCTGTTTTTTTTTAAATATTTATTTTATTTATTTATGCAGACAAGAGCTGGGGTGTAGGCCAGTGATGCAGGGAGGGGGTTGGAGGAAAAGGATTCACCAGAGACACAGCGGGGAGCAGAACAGGCAGATCTACTGAAATTCACTGTTGAGGGGAGCAGTGGGTGAGACAAGAGAGGTCTGCTGTGCCACGTGGGTCACCCCTTGGACCAGGGATGGAAGTCGGACTGCAGTGGCTACAGATATCTTCATAGTACTGGGTCTTAACCCCTTGCACCACCAGGAAGGCCAACTTCTCATCTTCTTACCAACTACTTAGTGTGTGTGTGTATATATATATATTTTTAAAAGATTTATTTATTTATGTATACAGAACTGGAGTACAGGCCAGAGGTGCAGGGACAGTGAGAGGATTCACCAGAGACAGAGCGGGGAGCAGAACAGTCTGACTAATGAAGCACACTGCTGAGGGGAGCAGTGGGCGGGTCAGGAGAGGTCTGCCAGTGCCATGTGGTCACCTCCGGGCCAGGCAGGGATTGAACTCATGCTGAAGTGGCTTTAACTTCTTAGTGCTGTGCTTTAACCCACTGCACCACCAGGGAGGGCCTAAACTACTTAGTATATTTTTTATTGTTTGCCCTCACTAGAAAACAAGCCTCACAAGGACCCGGAATTTTGTAGCTTTTGCTCTTTGATCTCTCCCAAATGTTAAGATGAATGTCAAACAATAGGCAATACATAAATATTTGTTAAATGATAGAATGAATGTGAGTGAAAAAAGCAAGATGTAGAAGAATGCATACTGCACAATACTGTGTAAATTTCTAAAACATGAAAATGTTTAAAAATGTTATCCAGGGACTCCTACAAACACGGACAATATGTTAATACATGTTAGCAAGAGAATAGTAACTTTTTAAAAACCATTTATTTATTTATGCATACAAGAACTGGGGTACAGGCTAGGGGTACAGGGGTGTGGGGGTGGGAGGGCATGAGAGGATTTACCAGAGACAGAGTGGGGAGCAGAACAGGCAGATCTACTGAGACACACTGCTGAGGGGAGCAGTGAGAGAGACAGGAGAGGTCTGCTGTGCCGCATGGGTCAGCTCTCTGGCCGAGGATCCAACTCATACTGCAGTGGCTGCAGATAGCTTCATAGTGCTGCGATTTAAACCCTTGTGCCACCAGGGAGGCCCCGAACAATAACATTTTACTAATGCTTATCCCTTAGTGTATGAATGAGAGAGAAGGGACATAAGGCCCTTAAACAGTATTGCTCATGTTCTATTAAGTTAGGGCTTCTAGTAAGTTGGTTCATGGGTTTCTAGTTTATCATATATCTGAACTTATATATGCTTCCTAATATATTCTCTTGTATGTGCTGGGTGTTTCACAATTATAAAATTATTTTAAAAAGTTTTTAGGAGGAGTCAAAGGTTTGTGTCCCGAACAAAAGAAAGCATAGTACAAATGCCCTGATATGGAGACAGTTATCTAATTGGAAGACTTGATAGGAGACCAGTATACCTCAAATACTGTAAACACAGGAGATGTGTGCAGGAACCAGATCTTGGAAGCCCCAAGTAAGGAGTTTAAAATTGACTCCCAAGTACAGTGGGAAGCTTGTGTAGGATTTTGAACAGGTGAGAGACATATGATTTATGTTTACAGAAGTGTTTTTGGCTGTTGCTTTGACTGGCTCACATGCCAAAAGTGGACATCCAAACCAGGACAAGAATCTGGCAAATATAAGCCCCTCTAGCCTTTCATTTGACTCGAGAATAAGTCATAAAAATAAAGAGGGGATAATGGTGCCATTTACTGAAATGGGAAAAACTGAAAAGTGAAACACATAAGGGGGACTGATTAATTGAGTCTGAAGCTAAGATAGATGTGCAGGGGTCAGATTATGAAGACCTTTGTAAGTTTGGCAAAAAGGAGTTAGACTATCTCATAAACATTTGTTTTGGTTAGATTTGCTTTCAGAAAGATCACTCTGGTAGTCAGTACAGATAAAGAACTAGAGAGGGTTTCACTGGAATGACAGAAGCCCATGAGGCTTCTGGGAATACTATCTGACACCAGGTTGTAAAACCTGAAATAGAGATAACAGAGATAGTGGAGATAGCAGAGATGGAGGACACAGGAAATATAGCAGGAAGTAAAATGAGATACAGCAGGGAGAAAGTAATGAGGTTGGAGTGTAGATAAGGATGGCCAGCAGTGATTCATTCCACCTCACTGTTGCTCCAGATGTTCCGAGAAGACCAGTCACCAGATCCCAAGGAAGTAGCAGCCATTGAGGCTAGAAGAAATCGAGAAAAGGAGCGACAAGCCCGATTCTTCAATGTGCGGACCCGAGTCATAGGGGTGAGTGGGCATCGGGATGCAGGGCCACTTCACTCTTGTATCACAAGAGGCACAATGCCCTGCCCTTTATGCCCTTCTCCCTAATTCAAGTAGGTCCTAGGCAGAAAGGGAGAAGGCAGGCACAGAAGGGGCCTGGGAAAGGGCTTTGGCTGCAGAGGAAGAAACTAGGGGAAGAAGAGCAGGTGACAAGTGATTCTTCTCTAGCCAGCTCCATGCTATGTGGCCTGCTTCTCAAGAGTCAAGCAGCACGGAGCCAAATGAAGTCTAAAGAACACCTGGTGTTACATGTGCCTAAACTCTTTTGAAGATTTTTATTATTTATGCATACAAGAACTGGAGGACAGGCCAGCAGTGCTGGGGTTGAGAGACAGAGTGGGAAACAGAACAGGCACTTCTACTGAAATACACTGCTGAAGGGAGCAGAGGGCAAGACGGGAGGTCTGCTGCACCATGTGGGTCAGCTCCCTGGCTAGGAATAGAATGACCTGCAGTGGTGGTGAATAGCTTCATAGTGCTGCACTTGAACCACTAGGGAGGGTCCTAAACTCTTTCTGGAAGGTTATATAAGAAACTGCTAACTGGACGAGGGACAGAGATGGGAGGAACACTAACATTTCACTGAACTACATCCCTTTTGCACTATTTTGAGATGTGTTAAATGAATTATAATTATAATAAAGAGAAAGTGTTGATAGTTTAAGATAGACAGATTGCTCCCTCTCTAGTGGTGCAAGGGGTTAAAACACAGCACTATGAAGCTAGCTACAGCCGCTTCAGCATGAGTTCAATCCCCAGCCAGGGAGCTGACCCACATGACGCAGCAGACCTCTCCCGTCTTGCCTGCTGCTGCCTTCAGCAGTGTAAATCAGGTAATCTGAATTCAGTAGGTAATTCAGTAAAGGGGCTCTATAGGAAGATTTTGAAGCAGATAAATTTTTTTTTTAAGATTTATTCATACAGATTTGGGGTACAAGCTGGAGGTGTAGGGATAGTGAGGGGCTTCACCAGAGACAAAGTAGGGAGCAGAACAAGCAGATTGATGAAATATACTGCTGAGGGGAGCAGCAGGTGGGTCAGGAGAGGTCTGCAGCACCATCTGGATCACCTCCAGGACCTGGGATCGAACCAGCACTGAAACTGCTGCTGCTAGCTTACTGTGCTGTGCTTTAACCTACTGCACCACCAGGGAGAGCCCTGAAGCAGATAATTTCTAAGGAGTTTCTGTCAGAGCCCTCAAGACCCTCTGCTAGACCTCTACCCTAACTTAGCTCATTTCTTTGGGATCAGGTGGATGTTGAAGCCCTGAACCGCCAGGTGGAGGAACGAAAGCTTCGAGAGGCAACAGAGCAGAGCAAGGAGGCAGCCTATGGTAAAAGCCCAGGGCTAGGGGGTCAGTCATGGGCTGTGGGGAGGGAGTAAGAGCTTGAGTGGGGTTGAGGTAGGGCATGTCTGCCTTGGTGTGATAGGAAAAAAAAAAACAGATAAACCTTGGGAGCACAGGCCATGCCAAGTGGGCTCTGTCCCTCCCATACTGCCTTTCCATGTCCTCCCTACCAACCACCCCCAGCTACCAGCCAGATGCAATATGATCTGGTATCCCAGATGCTAGAGAAGAAGCAGGCAGAAAGGACACGTCGGCTGGCCAAGAACGTCCTGGAGTCTTGCGAGCAGAAACAGCAGCTCAAGAACAAGCACGACTTTGACATTTGGGATCCAGACAAAGTCTGGAATGAGTTTCCAACCCATCAAAGCAACAATGATAACCGCTATGGCCTGGGCACCCTTCAGTGCTTCTCTGGGGAGGAGCTGGAGAAGTCTCCACGCAAAAGAATGGAGCAGGAGCAGCTTAGGTCCAGCCTAGACAAGCAGCTGCAGGAGCAACAGCAAGCCAAGAATGACCAAAAGTATACAGGTAAGCAGTCAGCACTCCAGGCACAGAGACCTGAGGCTTTCCAGGGAGTTCTGAGCAGGATACAGGACCCAGGAGACCAGACTGGGGTGGTCCAATTATTTACAGCATGGATCCTGAAAGGTTATACTTAGTAGACACAAGTCTCCCTTGTCTCCTTCAGGAACTGACTGTAGCCACTGGCCCCAATCAGTCAGCACTTCATTACCTGGAGGCAGCTCTACCACTTAATAAGTGGTTTGGCAAATGAATTTTCCTCCCTGTGCTTCAGTTTCCTCATCTTTAAAGAATCCATGCCACACAGAACTCATGAAAATCAAATGAGATGCTGTATGTGAAGTGCCTTTGTGTTCAATAACCATTAACCACTATCATACAGGTATCACCTGTGATCGCTTCTCTCCCATCAGAGTAAGCCGTGGCAAGGGCCATATCTTATCAACTCACATGGTTTATCTTTCCAGTTACCCCCGTTTTAGCACTCTGTTCTATTTACACCACTTCCCATAGGTATAACTAATTGTGAAGATATTTGTGAAATGTATGTATTCTCTCCAAAATGTCAATTCACTGAAAATGAAACACTTCTCTCATTTCTACCCCTGCCCCCCAGTTGCCCAGAACAGTGTTCTCCAGTGTTGGGTGCTCAACAAGTCATGTTGAAGGAACAATTGAAAACCAAAATAAGTAAGACAAACGCCCAACAGGAGCCCACAAAACCAGACCTTCAGATAAGAGGAACATATGCATACAAATCAGTCACCAGTAAATATTTATGCCTCTGCACTGTTACATATTATCACAGGACATGGAAGGAACATCAATATGGGAGTGGTTAATTCTTACAAGGAAAAACAGACAGGGTGGGACGTGACACAGATCAGCTGTCAGGAACCAATTTGGAAAAGTCGGGTATGATTTTGCCAGGGTGAGAGGGAGCCAGAAAAAAAGGAGCCACTCTAAAGAAAGAGGGCAGCGAGAAGAGCCTCAGGACTGTGAATAGTCAGGTGTTCAGGATACACAAAGACTTTAGTGTCAGTGCACCCCAGGGGTGGGAAATGGCCAAAATCTTCTGTACTAAGAAACTGTGCCCTTTATCATGCCGGATAACCACTTAAAGGTTGTTTTTGTTTTGTTTTGTTTTGTTTTGTTTGTACATCGGGGTGTAGGCCAGAGTTGCAGGGGCAGGGGGTGAGTGGATTCACCAGTGGGGAGCAGAACAAGCAGATTTATTGAAATACACTGCTAAGGGGAGCAGCCAGGAGAGGTCTCTTGTTCTATATGCCAGTTAGCTCCTGGGAGTTGTGATAGCATTAAGACTTAACCCTTAGGCTACCAGGGTGGTCCTACTTCAGCTACTTTGGCCCTGTTGCTATTATTCCTCAAAGGTTCCAGGCATGTTCTCTCCTTGTTTAGGGCCTTTGCACTAGCTATTATTCCCTCTACCTGGACAGCTCATCAGACATTTGTACTGCTCACTCCCTTGTCTTCAGATCTGTATTCAAACATTATTACCTTAGTAAAGTTTTACTAACTTAAAATTGCAACTGTTGTATTCCTCTAAGCTCTAAGCTCCCTCTAAGCTCCATATCCCCATTTATGCTTTATTTTTCTCCTTAGCAATTATCTTTTTTTTAAAAAAAAGATTATTTATGCTGGGGTACAGGCCAGGGGTGCACAGTCAGTGAGAAGATTTACCAGAGACAGAGTGGGGAGCAGAACAGACAGACTGACGAAGTACACTGCTGAGGGGAGCAGTGGGCAAGACAGGAGAGGTCTGCCGTGCAATGTGGATCACCTCTGGGCCGGGATCAAACTCACATTGAAGTGGCTGTGGCTAGCTCACAGTGCTGCGTCCTAACCCATTGTGCCACCAGGGAGGGCGCTATTTTTTTTAATTTATTTATTTGTGCATACAGAACTGGGGTACAGCCAGAGGTGCGGGGGCGGTGAGAGGATTCATCAGAGACAGAGTGGGGAGCAAAACAGGCAGATTGACTAGAATACAGTGGTGAGGGGAGCAGCGGGTAATACAGTAGAGGCCTTCTGTGCCACGTCGGTCACCTCCCAGGGCCAGGGACTAAATTTGAGCTGAAGCAAGAGTGGATCTTGCTGATTAGCGGCTGTGGCTAGCTTAGCAGTGCTGCGCTTTAACCCACTGCATCATCAAGGAGGGCCCTCCTTAGCAATTACCTTAACCATCTTACATATTTCACTATTTTGTCTGTCTGTCCACATCTGTGTGAACACCACGTCAGCAAGATTTTTTTTTTGTACACTGTTCCACACACAAAATAGCTACCTTAATATTTGCTGAATATTGAAAATGCTCATCATTCCTCTGCTTTAAAACCTTTAAGGGCCACCCTAGTGGCTTAGGGGTTTAAGTCTCAGCACTATCACCACTGCCGCATGAGTTCGATCCCTGGCCAGGGAGCTGACCCACATATGGCACAGCAGACCTCTGCTATCTTCCCACTGTTCCCCTCAGTAGTGTATTCCAGTTAACTGGCCTGTTCTGCTCCCCACTGTCTCTGGTAAATCCTCTCACACCCCATACCTCTAGCCTGCACCCCTGTTCTTCTGCATAAAAATTAAAGAAAAAAAAAGTGGCTGAAGGAATAGAGTGAGGAGAGTGGTAGGAAGTAAAGTCAGAAAGGTGACAGGGGCCAGTTTGGGGTAGGTCTTATGAGCCATGGTGAGGACTTGGATTTTTACTTGAGACAGGAGCTGTGGAAAGTTTTGAGCATTGGAGTCATATTACTTGTATTTTAGACAGATAATTCTGACAACTAATGTGGAGGTTGGATTAGAGGGGGAAGGAAGACTAGAGGCAGTCATGCAGAGGTGGGGATAGAGCCATGTAGCTAAATAACCCTGAAATCTGTAAGTCAATATGGGCTGGAGGGAGAGATCTGGAAGGGTGGGGTTTGTGCACATGAGCAAAACACTAAGCCTAAAGCCTGGGGAAAGGGTGAGCAAATGGTGTATTCTGTAAGGACAATGACCAAAGCTGTCTTGTTAACCACTACAATCCCATTTACATAACATGGTAGATCTTGAGTGAATGAATAAGTAGATGAAAAAGAACTAATAACAAAGATTGAAAAGGGATCAGGGAAGTAGGACAAAGACATGCATAAAAATAATAGTTATAATAGTGGCGCTAACAGTTTTATTGATGTGTACCATCACTGTAATTTCCGCCAAGCATCAACTCATTCAGTCCTCACAGCAACCCTATGAGCAAGTACTAGTACTGTTCCCATTTTCAGCATAGGAAACTTGCCCAGTGACAGAGCTAGTGGTGATGGAGGTAGGAAGTGAACTCAAGCAGGCTGGCTGGAGCCCATGCTCTTGACCATTATCCCACACTTGCTTTCTCTTAGTCACCAAAAAACAAACAAAACAACAACAACAACAAAAATCATTGGAATTCAAAGGCTAAGAGAGAGTAGTAATGTTAAATGCCCTGGAGAAGTTCAGATAGGAACAGAAACTTGTCTATTGGACTTGGAAATTTGGAGTACTCAGTGATTTTTGAAAAAATATTTATTTATGCATACAAGAACTGGAATATAGGCCAGAGGTGCAGGGGGTGAAAGGACTCACCAGAGACAGTGGGGAGCAGAACAGGCCATCTACTGAGATATACTGCTGAGGGGAGCAGTGGGCAGAGGAGACAGAAGTCTGCTGCGCCATGTGGCTCACCTCCCAGGATGCAGTGGCTGGCAATAGCTTGATAGTGCTGACACTTTAACCCCTGTGCTACCAGGGAGGTCCTATTTGGTGATTTTTGACACAGCAGCTACAATGGCACTGTGGGCCAACTGCCTAATGGTAGCAGGCAGGTGTACAAGGAGGCAGAGTGAGGCTAGAGATAGCAGACTGCTGGGGAGTGTCTATAGCGTAATGGAAGGGGCATGGACTGATCCTGCCGCAGACCTACATTCAGATCCCATCTATTATACGTTGCCCACTTTGTGCCCTTGGGCATTTTATCTCCCCTCAGGACCTCTCTGTCCCCGTCTGAAAAGTGGGATTTAGCCTTTCCTCTTTGGGTTGCTGTGAACAGTGAAAAGAAACAATGCACCCCAATTCTAAGAAGTCTATGTTTTTATGCCCTTTAAAATCAAACCTTCAGCATGTTCAGGTCCTTATTTTCCCTGCCCCCCCGCAGGCTGTGCTCCTTTCCACTGGCCCCTTTGGTGAAGGCTGTAAACATCCTTACATGCTAACCCATCTGAAAAGAAAAAGCCTTCTTTCACCCTGATTCCACTATATTCAGCAAGCTAGCCATTTTCCTTTTGCAAAATCTACCTCTGCTTGCTTCTTTACTTTCCAGTAACAATGCAACCCCGAGATCTCATTTCACCCACACACCACTCGTATCAAAAATCACCGATGCCCTTAGCATGCAGGTTGTTTTATCTTTCCTCCTTGTCTGATCCCAGCCCTTCCTTGGCTGCCATCACAGCACATTTTGCTCTAGTGCTTTGAGCATTTTTTCTTCATCTCCCTTCCTTCCTGAGACTTCGTCTCTGGCACACTGCTCTCCCTACCCTGTATAATTGGTTGTCCTCAGCCCTCACTCTAGAACCAGCTTCTGTGTCACTATCTTTGTGCTCAGGACCCTCCATCTGCAGAGTCACATATACAGATGCTTGCTGACGACCTTCAACTTAGTTTCTGGAAACAATTCGTGGGTACTCCCTATCCTGTTCTTCATCCTGCGTCTTCCACTTCTGCACACCAGGACCCTGGGAAGTGTCCCTGCATCGTCCTTCTCTCAATCCATCAAGTACTGATGATGTAACCTCCTATGTATTTCTCCCTCATTTTTTCCCATAAGGCCCTGGTTTGAGTCCTCCAAACTGGCCTACTGTAATAACTTCCGTGGTGCCTTCCTTACATCCAATTGCCTGCCTGCCTGCCTGCCTGTCACTCTCCATAATGGCCACCAGGTTTATAAAATGCAACTCTAGGGCCTCCCTAATGGCTCAAGAGGTTAAGTCTCAGCACTATGAAGCTATCAACAGCCACTGCAGCATGAGTTGAACTCTGGCCAGGGACATGACCCACATGGCACAGCAGACCTCTCCTGTCTCGCCTGCTGCTCCCCTCAACAGTATAATTCAATACATCTGCCTGTTTTACACCCTGCTCTGTCTCTGATGAATCCTCTCACCCAACCTCCCACCCTACACCTCTGGCCTGTACCCCCGTCTTTGTATGTATAAATAAATCTTTTTAAAAATAAAATAAAATGCAAATCTAACCATATCATCCCCTTGCTTCAAATCCTCCTATGTTCCCCACAAACTTAGGGTCAAGATTCTGACCCTTAGTCTGGCCAATGCAAACCTCTGTAGACACTTGTGTGTTATGCTCCAGCAAAAGCAGATTTTTGTAGTTTAACATACAGGCCATGCTATTTCTTAATTTCCCTCACACATCTGACACATACTGAACACTAGGTGCTGCATCATGGTAGTGAATGACACTGACAAAAATCACAATCCTCACAAAGTTACCTTGTAGTAAGCAGAAACAGACAAAATATTTAGGTAACATGTATACTGGATGGTGACAAATGCTAAGGAGAAAAATCAGAGCAGAGGGATAAAATGCTGGGGACAGGCAGACTGCAATTTTAGGTAGGCCAGACAGGAAGTTACTGAGGCAGCAACATCTGAGCAAAGACCTGAAGGAATAAAAGAGGTGAGCCAAGTATAACATCTATTACAAAACCCTGTTCCTGATGTTCCAGGAACAGGAAAACACTGTTACTGGATTGTCTTGTTTATGTTGTGCCCTCAGCCTGGAATGCCTTTTGCTCTTCTTGTCTATATACATCAGAGAGTTCCAGGATCATCTCCTGTAAGCCTTCTCACATCTGAACCTCTTGTAACGCCCTCTACACATCTCTACCATTATCCTTACCACACTGTGGTGTTATTTATGTTGGATCCGTCTCACCCACTAGACAGGGAGCTCTCTTAGGACAGAATGTGATCATGTGGTTATCTTCCAAATCAATACATGGCCCTTAGATTGAGGCTCAGAGAGATGAAATGCTTTACCCTAGGGCGCACAGCTCAGAAGCAGCAGAGCAGGCACTGGCATCCAGGTCTATGGGAGGCATAAAATACTTGTTGCCACTTTGGCTAGCCCTAGTTCCAAAGAGTAGCTCCTACTGCATCCCTACAACTAAGACATTAACCCCCTCCCAAACATCCAAACATACATACTCATTGGTTAACAAATGGCTGAATGAGTGAATCAGAAAAGGACTAGGCCTGTAAAGTGCCCTGCTCCTACTTCTCTATGTAGATATGCTCAATGAAGAGCTGCGTCTAGCCATGGACACGCGGGCCACCCAGCTCGCCAAGCTAGAGGAGTCCTGTCGCATGGCCATGATGTCTGCAATGGCCAATGCCAACAAAGCCCAGGTACAGCTTGAGCTACCCAGTACACTGGGCTGTCCCCATTCCCTTGAAGAAAATCCTGAGGGGAACCTTAGCCACATCTTCCCCTCACAAACCTTCTTGAATCAATGCCAAACCCCTCATCTACCCCAGGACCTCCCTCATTCACCTAAGAGCTCTCAGAGGGCAGGTAAGTTCCCTGCCCATTCACCCCTGCCCCTATCTCCAATCATTCAAAGGCCATGCCATATCTATTCCTTCTTCCCCTGAAGGGGAGAGGAAGGCCATCTCTCCCCCTCCCCTATGACTGAGAGTTCCCTAAGCTTGGGCACTCAAATGCTCTTATTTGGGTCCCCACCAGGCAGCTGAGGTGGCTGAGCGGCAGCGTCATGAGCATCAGTACCAACAGGAGGCCAACCTCACAGAAATCCAGAACCAGATCAATAGTGACCTACTGACTGAGAACCCCCAGGCTGCTCGACGCCTTAGGTGTCCCCATCGGGTCCTGTCCTATTGCTGGAAGGGCATGAATCCACAACAGCGAGCTGCCATCTGCAAAGACCAGGAGGAGCAGCGCCATGAAAAGGAGGTACAACGCCAGGCAGAAAAAGCTCTGGACACGGAATGGGAAAACCAGGCCATATGCTCCGCCCAGGCAGCAATGGAGCTAGAAGAGCAAGAAAGGGAGCTGTGTGCTGAATTTCGTAGGGGCTTGGGCTCCTTCAACCAGCAGCTGGCTAAAGAGCAAAAAGCACAGTGAGTTATAGGGGTTGGCAGTAGGGATCAATGCCAAGGGACAGGTGGGATGGTGAGGGTTAGGGGCAGAGGGAATGCCCATCAGCTGACGCCTCTGGACTTCTTTCACAGGCAGAATTACCTGAACGCAATAATCTACACCAACCGGCCTACTGCCCAGTACTATCTGCAGTTCAACAGCAGCAGCCGCTGAGTGCAGGATGGTCAGCTCTTCTCTCCATCAAGCTCACAAAGGGCTAGAAGTCAAAAGAAGAAAATGATGCTACCTAACCTCCTTCCCCAATCCATTTCCAGCGGGAGAGAGCTAAGCCAGTACCTCCACTTTTGACCCTAGTTAATAAAGTCATTCACTACAATTCAAGGCCATACGTTGTAATAGAATGCAAAAATGTGAGGTACTGCCTTTTCCCCCATCCCTGGGCTCTGAACAACCCCAACAAAGTCTTGCACCTTCAACCCTTTCTTCCCCATGTCAGCTTTCTCAGCACACAGCACTGCACACTCCCTGTGAGAAATAGAAACTTTATTTAGGCACAAAGAGTAACTGATGGGCAAGTTACAAAATGGCTACTAGGCACCTCCCAAGTTGTAGCCCAGTGAAAAGAGGGGCAGAGGAATAGGTTTTCTCTACCTGCTCCCTTCAAGGCTGCATGCGGATGGCCCCATCCAGCCGGATGACCTCTCCATTGATGAATGGGTTTTCAATGATGGCCTGTACCAGATGTGCATACTCAGCAGGGTCACCCAGTCGGCTGGGGAAGGGCACCTGGCTGGCCAAGAAGTTTCGCACTTTCTCGGGGAGGCTGGTCAGCAGCGGGGTGCCAAATAGGCCTAGACAAAACAGCCAGAGTCAAAGGTCCACCCTTGCCTTCATATTTACCCAACCCCTTTTCACCTTTGCCCTACTTGTGGTGCTTTGCTATGCGAGGTTGGTGTTGCTTAGGTGTTAAATATTTCCCCTCCATTACCCATGGATCCCATCTAATCCCAGGTGTGGCATGGAAATGTGTCTACCTGGAGCAATGGTCATCACCCGGATGCCCATGGGAGCCAGATCTCGAGCAATGGGCAATGTCATGCCTACTATGCCCCCCTTGGAAGCAGAATAGGCAGCTTGTCCAACCTGGAGAAGTAGAGGTCATAGGTGGAAGGGTGTCGACAAATCACTGAGAAGCACAAGCCTCAACCCTGCCCACACACCTGGCCCTCGAAGGCAGCCACACTGGCAGTGTTGACAATGACCCCACGTTGGCCTCCCTCGTCTGGCTCATTCTGGCCCATCTCACCAGCCACCAGACGGATGACATTGAAGGTGCCTGTGAGATTCACCTGGAGGACCAGTAGAAACAAATCATAGGGCTTAGTCTTTTGTCACCTAACAGCTTTGGGTTCACCCATAGCCAGAAATCTTTTATTCCCACCCCTAGAGAATCTCAGAGGCTTTACATTGAGAACGCGCTGGAAGTCCTCCAAGGTATGGGCCTGGCTCCTTTTTGAGTTGTATGTCTTGATAGCCACTGCAATGCCTGCACAGTTGACTGCCACATCCACATGACCAAACTTTTCTTTTGCTAGAGTCAGGGCTGCTTGCACGTCCTTCTCTGAGGTCACCTTCAAAGGGAGAAGTGGAGAAGGTATTTATTTCCCAGCGCACACACATATTCACACCACTAAACTTAGGGGGAGGGCTGACAAGTCATGTCTTTGCATGACTACAGGTTAGTGTAAGCAAGGAAGGAGCCAAAAGAAAGAAAACTCAAGAGTGGGGGAAAGTGAAAATATTAGGCAACACAAGCATGTTTCAAAATATTTTTCAAATCTATACCTTCTTGGTAAATTTCATACCCCTGGATATTCTCTGATGTGGATAACAACACTGTTTTAAAAATCATTGGTATAAAAATAAACTACTTTTTTGTTTCTTGCCCAAACCTACTAAGATGATTTCATCATGCTTTATTTTCTGAGTCTGTTTCGTTAAGTTTTTTACTTTGTAAAATCACAGGGCAGAAGATGCATTTTCAAGCCATCACATACCCTTTCCAGGAGATTCTGTAAGTCATGTTCTATCCCCCTTGGTCCTGGATTCAGAGATTTTTCTTTCCTAGTGTTTTGACAGCTCCAGCCAAAAGGGACAAAGATAAGGGTCCACCGCCCACCACATGGACAGTCTGGCACCGTCCTGGGAAAGGACCCCTCGGTTACCAGGCCAGTGTCTGTGACACACACTGGGAAAGAGAGGTGAACCCACTTACATCGGTTGGGGCGAAGGCGCAGCTTTTCCCTAACTTCTTGGCCTGGGCAGCTCCATCCGAGTTGGGCAGGTCCAGAAGTACTGCACTGGCCCCCTGACCAACAAGTCGCTCCGCGGTGGCCAGACCAAGGCCCGAGGCTCCTCCAGTTATTACGGCAACCAGGCCCTAGGAAGAGAGGCATAATTGAGCTACACTGAGGACCCCCACCTTTTACCGGCCGTTCTCCAGCTTCTTCGAGGGAGGCCCCCGTCACTACTGCAGTGGGCCGAAGTGTGCCTTCACTCCTTACTTCTGGGGGTCTCGTGCAGGCAGCCGGTCCGATCACCACACACACAGCTGCGGCGGTGAGTTGACCTTCACTCGGGAGCCCAACCGCCACAATACCAGGCCTAAATAAGGCACGACCCTTATTCCCAGCACCAATCTCTTCCCCACGCAACCCCTGCCCCCAGTTCCACGGCCCGAGCCGTCAAAGCCGGCGCACCGGGTCCAATAACAGAGGCAAACACTGAGTTACCTTCACGGTGCGGCACGCGGCAGCCATCTTGCCTGAGTCTGGCCGTTAGCAGAACTTTCTAGTGCTCACTGATTGGCGGG